AAGAGCCTAAGTGTCCATCAACAGATGAATGGATCAAGAAGATGTGGTTTATCTATACCATGGAATACTTCATGGCAATGAGAAAGAATGAAATCTGGCCATGTGTAGCAACATGGATAGATCTTGAGGGTGTTATGCTGAGCGAAATAAGTCAGGCAGAGAAGGACAAATATATGTTTGCACGCATAGGAGGATTAGGAGGAACTTAACTGAGGACCATGGGGGAGAAGAAGGAGGGAAATGGTGGGGGAAAGGGAGAGAGGCAAACCATGAGAGACTCTTGAATGCTGAGAAACAAACTGAGGACTGATGGATGTGGGGGGGAGGAGGGAGATGGGCATGGAGGAGGGTACTTGTGGGGATGAGCACTGGGTGTTATATGGAAACCAACTTGACTATTTGTAAAAAAAATAATAAAATAAAATCTGTTTTAATTTGAAAAAAAAAGAAATAATACAGTAAGCCTTGAAAAATAAGACAGAGTTGCTCTGAACACTGTCTCTGCACATGTGTAGGTAACCACCTTACAACAGACTGTTACTTTACTGCAAAAGGATAAAGACTACCTCAATCGCCAAAACATGGAGCTTAGTGTTCGCTGTGCCCACGAAGAGGACCGCCTTGAAAGACTTCAGGTTCAACTTGAAGAAACCAAAAAGACTAGAGAAGAGATGTATGAAAAATATGTAACATCCAGGCAAGGTTTACATTATTTTTTACATAAATAGATATAAATTAATACCAGCTTCTCTGAGGGAATTCTTACCTTTGGGAAAGAACAGTGATTTTTTTAAAAAGTTATATTGGACTATATTAAAATAACTGTTCATTTTGTTTTCTTCTAATATATTCTTATTCTAGTTGATTTTTATATTAAGACAGTGTGAGTTTTATTTTTTTCTAATAATAAAAAGCCTATTTTAGGTTGCTATATATATGCTATAATTCTTTTTTTTCTTATGACATAAACTTTTTAATTGTCGGCAACTAAGATCTCTATGTAAATATGTTTTGAAAGAAAAGATGTAAGTATCTTTTGAAATCAGTGTAATTGTGCAGAACTTAAGCCGACCTTTTCCTGACTGTGTGAAACCTGAGAGAAGAATTAGGGGATGGCGTTACATGCACGCTCTGGAATCAGAGTCCTGCCCTTTAATCCTGTCTTCTCTCTTCAACTAGATGTATAAGCTATTAGAGTTATAGTTTATATATATAAACTATATATATAATATATATATTAGTGTGTGTGTATATATATATCTATATACAGTTACTATAGTCCTTATAATCTTTGAGATCTTTATTTTTATCAACACATCCGAAACTAAAAAAAATTTAAAATTTTATCCTTTAAAACTTCACACATTCATAACTTTTTCCCCAGTCTGTGGTATTTTTCATGAGTTTGTGCTCCTGCTAATGGCCTAAGTAATGCTTTGACTTTGCTAAGAAATCACAGTGGTTATGGCTGTTGTGTTTTAGAAGGAAAGATTTTATAAAGAGTTGATTAGACATTTTGGTTTTAATTTTGTCTCTCAACATGTACAACACCAGATTATTTTTAAATGAAGGATATTCCATATACATCAGTTTTCAGGTCTCTGGCCATATGCATTAAAAACTATTAGTAGAATAGTTTTGAAGATGAATACATTTTATATAGTAATTAAACCTTTGGGGCAATATATTTTACAACTATGTTTTTCAAATAACATTGTATGTAGAACATAATTGACATAAGATAATAAATCTTACATGAAGCACAAAAGTATGTTTCTTTTACAGAAACAAAATTCATGGATATTACTTTTGACTCCTTGCAGAGACCATTATAAAACCGAATATGAAAATAAACTACATGATGAACTGGAACAAATCAGATTAAAAACTAATCAAGAAATTGATCAACTTCGAAGTGCCTCTCGGGAAATGTATGAACGAGAAAACAGGTATAAAAAAAGTAGGAAATTTGTAGGAAAAAGTAGAACATTTTTTTCTTTTGAAACTTATTAAACTGTTTCTATGACATCATCTCTTTTTTAATTCATTAAAGAAAATTTGTCATATCTAAATGTAATGGAACATTAAAGTTCTAAGGGCTTTGGTAACTAGCACAGAACAGGGTTTATCAGACCTTAAGTTAAGCGTCTTTACTCAGGTATCCCTAATATCTCTTCATTATCCTGGTAACTTGTCTTTTTGCATTTATGGGTTCAGACTGAGGACAGAGATGAAAAGTAAATAAGATATACCAGTAGTTCTTCCCATAACATGCCAATGATTTCTCCAGGAAATTTTTAGAAACTCGAATAATAATATAAAATATTACATATGCCTCATTTATTTGCTGGCCCTGACAGATACCATATTAAATAATTTTAAAGATGAATAAATTTTTTTATTAATTTTAGAGGCTCCTGGGTGGCTCAATCAGATAAGTGTCTGACTTTGGCTCAGGTCATGATTTCACGGTTTGTGGGTTCAAGCCCCACCTCGGGTTCTGTGCTGACAGCTAGCTCAGAGCCTGGAGCCTGTTTCAGATTCTGTATCTCTCTCTCTCTGACCCTCCCCTGTTCATGCTGTCTGTCTCTCTCAGAAAATAAATAAAACATTAAAAAATTTTTTTTTATCATTTTTAGTTTAGTATATATTCGGTTCCCTTAGTCAGTGATTGGCAGTATTAGGGTGAAATAAATGCAACTAATTTTAATAGCAATTATTTTTTTATGTGCCATCATTATTCTTCATATGGCTTTTGAAGGTTTATATTTTAGTGGGAGAATTATTTTGAAGTTGACTTGTCTCCTACTAGTTTATCAGCACTGATTTGAGTATATTATATTTTGAAGTTTGACAGCAAGCAAGACTTTAAATCAGACTTAATTCTATAATTATCACTGTAACATATTATTCTACTGGAAGTATAGTAGCAAGAAATTTGAGGGTTCCACCCCTCAATTCCAGGCAAAAAAAAGCTGGAAATTTACCTGCTCTATTAATGTAGTCAGCCTCTACTAGGGAAAATCTGTAGGAACTACATGTGCAGAATTACCTTTTGGATGGAAAACCAGCAAAGATAACTTTTAAATCGCTGTTAAATTGTTATTTTAATAAAACATATTGAGGGAGATTTTTATGGTAATGTTGAAGTCCTGGCGAGCAGTTAAATAACTGGACAACCTCATGCAAAAAAATGAAACTGGACCACTATCTTACACCATACATAAAAATTCATTCAAAATGGATTAAAGACTTGAATGTAAGACCGGAAACCATAAAACTCCACTCCTAGAGGAAAACATAGGCAGTCAGCTCCTCAACACCAATCTTGACAATGATTTTTTGAATCTGACAAGAAAAGCAAAAGTGGCTATCCACTTTTCCCAACACCATTTACTGAAAAGACTCCTTTATTTCTGGGCTTTCCATTCTGTATCCATGTGTCTGTTTTTATGTCAGTACCATACTATTTTGATTATGTTGTTTTATAATATATAATTTGAAATCAGGGAAGATGATGCCTTCAGCCTTGTTCTTCTTTCTCAAGAGCTGTGGCTATTCGAGGACTTTTGTGCTTCCATATAAATTTTAGGATTTTTGTTGTAGTTTAGTGAAAAATGCCATTAGAATTTTTATAGAGATTGCATTGAATCTGTAGATTGTTTTGGGGTAGTATGGACACTTTCCCAATCCTTCTAATCCATGAGCATAGACTATCTTTCCATTTATTTGAATCTTTATTCAGTCAGTTAAAGATGACAGAAAGTATATTTTTTAAATGTACACTTAGGGAGCGCCTGGGTGGCTTAGTAGGTTAAGCATCCAACTTTCACTTAGGTCATGATCTCGCGGTTCGTGGGTTCGAGCCCCGCATCAGGCTCTGTGCTGACTGCCAGCTCAGAGCCTGGAGCCTGTTTCAGTCTGTGACTTCCTCTCTCTCTGACCCTCCCCTGCTCACGCTGTCTCTCTCTCTCTCCTAGAAAGAAATAAAAAACATTAAAAATAAATAAATAAATAAATACATAAATGTCCACTTAGTGTGTAATTACAGATTAAATGCCTGTTTGCCATCCAAATCAAGAAGTCAAACAGTGTCAGCACGACAAAAATGTCTTTGAGGCCCTTTCTGCTTAACTCCTTCCTTCCATAAAGATATGGATTTTTATGCTAATAACTTTTGCTTTTTCCTTGTACTTTTATTATCTAAATTACAAGTAAATATGTATTTCTGAGAAAGTTTAGTTTTCATATTATATTAGTGTCACATAAAGGGAACATGCTGTATATATTCTTTTGTGGCTCTATGTGATTCTTCATGTAACCTTATTTTAAGATTCATATGCTAATTGCATTTAGCTGTTCATGGTCATGCCATTCTTATGAATTCATGCTTAAGAGAGCAGGGACATTAGGAGATTAGAGAGAGATGCATACAGAGAGATTAAAGAATGCCAAAAAAATTCTTCCATCTTTTTCAAAATTTTGGTTAGTCCCAGCCCTGTATTAGGTAAAAAGGTTCCTGTACCTTGTGGTCACTTGCTCTTAGGGTTCAAAATACAGAAGAGATATAAGCCTACTGTACACCAGGTTTGATGTTAGAAAAGTTTACATTTGCGCTCTCCAAGCACTATATTCACTTGTTTAGCCAGCATTTATTGATATCCACCATATACTGTAGGTACAACAGGGGCCTCTGCCTTCACGAAGTTGGTTGTCTAATAGACATAAAGACAATAGAGAAACAATAATTATAAGTATGATGATAATGGAGAAAATGACAGGAAACACAGGATGAGATTGTATAGAATTGGGGAAGACTTTATGGCAGAAGAAATATCCATGCTGATACCTGCATGATGACTAAGAATAAGATCTGCGTTAGGAAAGGGAAAGGAATTGGGGAAATGAATGTGCAGCATATATAAAACCTGGAGATTAGACAATATGAAGCTTTGTGAACAAACTGAAAATAATTCCACATGACTTGAGTATAGACTAAGACAGAGAGTTCTAAGAGATAAAACAGAAGACAGAAACAGAGGTCCAGATCATGTATTTGGATCATTGTCTAAGTAAGACCAACGGGGGACAAAGGAAAGATTTTAAGAATATGTATTATATAATCTGACTTTATATAAAAAAGAGATTGTTCTGCAATGTGGAGAGAGTAGAGAAGTAAAGTATATGGCCATAGACATAAAGGCCACTTTTTGAGGTTGGTCTGTTTTCAGAATGAGAAATGATAGAATGGAATTAATAGCAGTCAAGATGGAGAATAATGGGCCAGACTGGAAATATTTCTGGGAGGTGGAACCAACAGGATTCAGTGACTAGATTGGATTCGGGAGGGAGAAGATGTTCAGTAGTCGTGAGGTTTCTGGATTGCATAGCTAATGTGGATGGTGATGCAGTTTTTAAAGCATTAGGGGAAAAAATAAGGCTTTAATAGGAAAACATGATCAATTTAGTTTTATTTGAAGTTTTTGTGTAATACAAGCAGACAGAAAAATTGACGTATAAGATTTTGAATCTCAAGAGAAAGGTCTGGGCATGAGATAGACCTATGGCATAGGTGATATTATTTCTGTTTTTAAAATAAGCAGTTTTAGTCCTGTGACTCTATTCTGTTAGAGATATTATAGGCTTTTATTGACTAGCTTAGTAACCTTAAAATTTAGGGAATTGTTTCTTTGATAACATGCATAATTATTTCCAAGCAGTCCACATAGCACATAAACTTTAGAATCATAATCACTTTGATAATTTCCTGATTTTTCAGTTTTTGTTTTTTTTAAAAATCCTTTAAAATGCTTGGCAACATAGATTTAGACAAGTTAGCCCTTGTTCTCTAGGATGCTTGATAAAGGTAGGTCGGGAAATAGCTGACAGAACTATTTCTAGAAGCGAGAAAACAGAAAGCAGGTTTCCTTTTCCCCAATATTGTTCTGACTCCATAGCCACATCAAAATGGGTAGGCCCTAACCAGGACATTCCTGGGTCAGGGCTGCTGCCCTGGAAGCCGCAACCAGCTCCTGCCCCAGAATGTCCCCAGGGATACTGAAACTAGAGTGGGCAGTTGCCACCAGGTGGGGCCAAACTGCAGCCCAGCTCCAAATGGATTTGAATTGCACTGGACCCCGAGCCAGCTAGGTGTATAGGCTCATCTTTGTCATTTTGTTAACCTCACAGTAATCCAACCTTGTATTTCATGTGGCTGAATCTTTTTGACTCACAGGCAGGATTTAACTGTACTTAGAGCTTATGTCTCAGTAGTCTTTTACAAAGTAAAAATAAATGATAAATTGTTTCTTTTGAAACCTCATAATAGGAATTAAAACAGATGAAGTACTTATACTTGCATATTTGTACTTAATTTCTTTACCTCTCCCCCGATAAACATTTTTAGAAGAAAATTAAATAAGATTAAAGAAATATGTTATGGCCTTGGTTTGTTTTCTATACATTGGCAGATATTTAGAGAGTGCCTTTTATTTTCTCCTTTTAGAGAGGATGTGTAAGAAAAAGATGGACATATGCCATCTGATCCTGGCATCTGTCTCTGCAGTCATACCAGTAGTTTGCAAAGCAAAGGGAAAGGGAGTAGAAGAAACAAAGACTTCAGAAAAGGCGTAGATAAGCAAAGAAAACTGGGGTATTTGGATACATCATGAGTAGTGTAGTTGGGATTATAACATGTATGTATGTATGCTTTTGCTCAGTCTGTGAGTTAGCCTTCTTGTCTTCTGTACTTTGGAGTTGCTTTAAAATCTAGTTTGTAGTTATGTATGGGAAATAGTGAAACACTCTGGTGATGAGATTTGTTATACAAATAACTTCTTGCTTAGTAGGTATTTTGTGACTGAAATGTACAGACCATTTTATACATTTGGAAGCAAAGCATTATTCCATGAACAGGGAGTATATTATGAAAGAGATTTGGATCAAAAGA